TCTATATCTAGAGGAATATCATTAACAGGTTACAAGAGATATTCTACTCTCCTTACTGACATCTTACCGTTCTATATCTAGAGGAATATCATTAACAGGTTACAGGAGATTATCTACTCTCCTTACTGACATCTTACCGTTCTATATCTAGAGGAATATCATTAACAGGTTACAGGAGATATTCTACTATCCTTACTGACACATTACCGTTCTATATCTAGAGGAATATCATTAACAGGTTACAGGAGATATTCTACTATCCTTATTGACATCTTACGTTCTATATCTAGTGGAATGTAATTAACAGGTTACAGGAGATTATCTACTCTCCTTACTGACATCTTACCGTTCTATATCTAGAGGAATATCATTAACAGGTTACAGGAGATATTCTACTCTCCTTGCTGGCATCTTACCGTTCTATATCTATAGGAATATCATTAACAGGTTACAAGAGATATTCTACTCTCCTTACTGGCATCTTACCGTTCTATATCTAGAGGAATATCATTAACAGGTTACAGGAGATATTCTACTCTCCTTGCTGGCATCTTACCGTTCTATATCTAGTGGAATGTCATTAACAGGTTACAGGAGATTATCTACTCTCCTTACTGACATCTTACCGTTCTATATCTAGAGGAATATCATTAACAGGTTACAAAAGATATTCTACTATCCTTACTGACATATAGAACGGTAAGATGTCAGTAAGGAGAGTAGAATATCTCTTGTAACCTGTTAATGATATTCCTCTAGATATAGAACGGTAAGATGTCAGCAAGGAGAGTAGAATATCTCCTCTAACCTGTTAATGATATTCCTTTAGATATAGAACGGTAAGATGTCAGTAAGGAGAGTAGAAAATCTCCTGTAACCTGTTAATGATATTTCTCTAGATATAGAACGGTAAGATGATAGCAAGGAGAGTAGAATATCTCCTGTAACCTGTTAATGATATTCCTCTAGATATAGAACGGTAAGATCTAGAGGAATATCATTAACAGGTTACAGGAGATTATCTACTCTCCTTACTGACATCTTACCGTTCTATATCTAGAGGAATATCATTAACAGGTTACAAGAGATATTCTACTCTCGTTACTGACATATTACCGTTCTATATCTAGAGGAATATCATTAACAGGTTACAGGAGATATTCTACTCTCCTTGCTGGTATCTTACCGTTCTATATCTAGAGGAATATCATTAACAGGTTACAGGAGATATTCTACTCTCCTTGCTGGCATCTTACCGTTCTATATCTAGAGGAATATCATTAACAGGTTACAAGAGATATTCTACTCTCCTTTCTGACATCTTACCGTTCCAGAGGTCCCCTTCTGGTCTACTAAACGTACTTCTGATTGTACCAACGGACCCTTCGTTAGGCTGTTGAAATATAAATCAGAAATCAGGTCAAGTTGTTCTTACAAATACATGCTAAAATTCTAGAATTATTGAAAGTTAAATGGTAATAACGTAGTTCCCACAAGAACGTATTACTAGCTCTTTTCTTAAAACATGTGTTTAAAGATACAGTTTCTTATTCACTGCACGGTTTACACGTGATGGAGGAGTACACGATTGTTAAAGGAACTGTACTTAATGGTGCGAATGGTGGGACCAGGATACATGTTTGCAGGGTAAGGGGGCATCTTCAGGTAATACAGCTGTATTTTTCTGTTGGCCTTTGGAATGGGTTATCAGTGGAAGTAATAAACTTACGGGACGGTTTGAATGATGCCTTGAGTTTCTACAAGTTTAGCCTTGAGTTTCTACAAGTTTAGTTTAATAGACTACATGGACCAACAGGTTTCTCGTTGTTCTTACATTTTATGTTATCATTACACATTTTCATGTTCAGATGTTCGTGTTTTTTTCTCATGATTAAGAATGCGTAAGATGGCATTAAAATAGAACAGAGTTAAGTTAAATACTTATTTATATTTACGTATTGTACAGAAGTACAATACTCTAGGGTTATGGTGCAGTCATAACTTTGAAATATTGTTATTTTTCACGAGTCCTGAGAATGAATAAATTCACACAACATTTTTTCTTAAGTTTTAGTTATAGATACTCGGTGTAAGAAAGCAGCTGGCGACAGTACATCGACTAACCATGCTTGTTTGTTTTACACCAAAGCCTCACTGAGTTATCTGATGTGTCAAACATATGGAATCGAACCCCGATATTAGCGTTGTAAATCCGTAAACTTACCGCTGTCCCACCTGGGGATCCTTACAAAACGATAGAGGATAGAAAGTACGAATGTTCTTTTAGTTTAGTATGTAACGAAACTCTTAATGTTAATATAGAAAGTACGAATGTTCTTTTAGTTTAGTATGTAACGAAACTATTAATTTTGATATAGAAAGCCCGAATATTCTATTAGTTTAGTATGTAACGAAACTATTAATTTTGATATAGAAAGTTCGAATGTTATTTTAGTTTAGTATGTAACGAAACTATTAATTTTAATGTAGAAAGTACGAATGTTCTTTTAGTTTAGTATGTAACGAAACTATTCATTTTGATGTAGAAAGCACGAATATTCTTTTAGTTTAGTATGTAACGAAACTATTAATTTTGATATAGAAAGTTCGAATGTTA